AAGGTGGTTCTTATTTAGTACACCCAAACTCAGTATAAGGAAAGGGTTTCCGTCACGGGTCTGTGACTCAAGTCCTGCAATAGTCAAAATCTCATGAGATCTACACCGTCGGTTTCCTCACTTTGTCCGTTGATTTTTTTTTTAATATATAAAGCATATCAAAATTAGGTTTTTGAAAGCTATCAAAACCCCCCATAATTGTTAAATGAGTAAACCACTTTTTCCTTGGCCAAATAATGCCTTAATGACACTTTCCTACCCATAGACTTTTAAAATACTACTTTATTACCCAAATTTATATTCAGTTTTCAATTTCGACATTATTGCGGTCCCACACTACCATTATTCTCTTTCCTAATCATCAATTCTCAAACCCTACTTCTATCGACCCCGCTAATCGCCAGCAATCGAGTGATTAGGGGTTTGCGTAGTTGACCCTCCAAAGTCAAATTCCGATCAATCTCAATCACCAAAATCTAACATTCCACCACCAAAAGACTTATCGGTCTCCCCTCTTCAAAAGCCCCAATAGCTTGGACCTAGTTTGATCTCTGTTCGCCGTCAGAATATAAATTTGGATAGTAAAGTGGTATTTTAAAAGTATGTGGATGAGAAAGTGTCATTAAACCATTATTTGAGTGGGAAAAAGTTGTTAACTCATTGTTAAATATATATCCTCCTTAAATTATTAGAAATCTCCCTGCCTAAAGGGTTTTTTTTTTTTTTTTTTTTTAATAATTTCCAAAAACCTAGAGTGCCCTAAGATTAAACATGCTATGAAATAAACTTTTTAAATAAATTATTTAATAAATTTTAAGAAAACATATTAGTTTAGTTGATACACTTTTAATTTTTAGATATAATCCTAGAAGATATATCAAATTATTTATTTATATATCACTTAGTTATTTTGGTAAAGATAAAGATATATATTTTTATACCCAAACATCCATCATTTGATAAATAAAATATAATCCATATTGAGCATATATTTTCATAGTGTAGTTGAGTGTATTTAATTGTATCAATAATTCAAAATAGTTTAATTTGTTATTTTTAATTATTATTTCAGGGAAAATCTCAATCATATTAATTAAAATAGTAATGAAATATAATTTTCAAACTTATATATATATATTTTATATATATATAGTGTGTATGTGTGTGTGTGTGAGGTTGGCAATGCTTTTAGAAAGTATAGGTTACTTTTCTAAATCTAGAAGTTTTTAATTATAATAATCCTTTGAACTTTCAACTTAGAGGTCCAAAAGAGAGATTGCTTGTGCTTTGACTGCGCAATCCTCTTACAATCAAAGTGAAAAAAAAAAAAAAAAAGCACTCCTAGCTTCTCTTGCAATTTTTTCTACTGTCGAGCTTTGAAGATATGATGAAATTCACTACAAGAAAAAAAATATAAGGGTTAAATGAGCAAAGAACATGACAAATCTTATCTATCACGAGAAATCATATAGTAAAATAAACAACGAATAAATAAAGAAACAAATCTCACCCAATTTTTCTTGTTTCTTTTTTTTATTCGTTATTCTTTTATATAACAAAAACTTTCATTTTATGAATTTTTTTTTTTCGCTATTCTCTTACAACTTCTGATGTCACAACTTATCATTAGTTAGCTTACAAATGGGTAGACATGACCTATATAAGCAGATAAAACTAATTTTATAAGTTGACTAATGACGAATTGTCACGTTGGAGATTATAACAAAAAAATTGTGAAATTGAGTTGTAGCTTTAATATTACTCAAATAAATATGATGATGTGGCATCAATAATTAAATTAAATTCAAATCCATAAAAATAAAATAATGAAACCAATTAGTCACCGACACAATTTTAAGAGTTGACCCATCTACGCACAAGACCACTTAAGTGTACGGCTTCTTCAAACCTAATATTTTTTTTAGATGTTTGACGTGTATTTTGGTTCTTATAACAGTTTAATATTATAATAATAATTGATTAACCATTATTAATTACTATAATTAGTAACATAAAGTCATTCATGAATGGCGAAAATTCATGATTATTGATCACAATCAAACAATTGTATAAAACATTTACCAATGTGTGTGTTTAAAAAACATTTTCATATAGAAGACGCAAATTCATGATTATTGATCTAACTCACTCGTGACTTGTGAGTAACTTAGATAGTTATGGCGAAATTGGGATAGTGCAGATACAGACGATCTTATATTCGATTTTTTTATCTAAGCATCTACGATTTAAGTGAGAAGACATGGTGGTGGGTTGCTGAGTTGGTCTATCTTGAAAATAAGTCGAGGTGCACGTAAATTGGTCGAGACACCTTAGTAACAAAAAAAAAAAAAAAAAAATCATTATTGATCTATTGTTATATGTTATAATTGATATATTTATTTTGTTATATATTTATTTGAGTTATGAAACAAAGATAAAAAAGTAATATAATAATATTTTTTAAATACTTTAAATAAAAGGATAATTATGTAAAATTATAAGATATGATATCCATTATAATTTTGAAATTTCAGATGTTTTGAATAGAATAAATAATCTATTGTGTTGTATATTATCTATAAAAGAAATTACAAAATTATAAAACTGTATATTAATTAATTAAGTAATAATTTTCCACCCTTTCATAATACTAAAGGGACACATTAGGCAATTTTCTCAAATTCTATTAAGGCAGGCGAAGGAAGGTGCAGTGCTATAGTCACAAGTAGCGTAGATTCCAAACGGCACTGACGACTGCTATTTGTTGGACTTTCCGCTCTGCTTTTTTGTCGGTCATGGGTCCGTCCAATGACAACCAGTCACAGACCACAAATATATTAAAACAGAGAAAGGGTTTCCGTCACGGTTCTGTGACTCAAGTCCTACAATAGTCAAAATCTCATGAGATCTACACCGTCGGTTTCCTCACTTTGTCCGTTGATGTCGACCGTACGGACGTGACGTGAACTGTGACCATTAACGACAATGGTCCCACATGGAAAGAGCTTAGAAACCGCAGGGTAACAAAGGAAATCTATCTGTTAATTTAAGTGGAATCTCTAAGGGCATTCAAATCATAAAAAATTACAAAAATTACAATTTTGCCACTACTTAATTGTTGAATCGGTTGAGAAAGTAAGACATATGATAGTGTAGTTGATTTTGACATACAATTTGAGTATTGTTTAATGTTTAGGTTAGAAATAGTCAATATATGTATAATGAAGTGGGACACTTTCTTAGTTAATGCTTGTCTACTCAAAGAATTATATTCACATCTTTTATTGATTGATAATTTTATATATATATATATATATATATATATTTTTTTGTTAATCGGTATTTTAGGGTTAATTTGTGCGCACCTCAACTATCTTTTAGATTTTGTTAAACATTTTATAAGTCCAATAAACAAGATAAATCACAAATATAATTGATGACCATTTTACAAGACTCAAACACAAAACCTCTGGATAACCCACTTACATGGTTAAAGGCTTTGTCTTCTGATCACAGGGTTAGTGGTTAATAAAATTGAAATTTCTCATACACTTTTTAAGAAACAAGATAAAATAAATTGAAATTTCTTATATAATAAAACATTAAAAAAAAAAGATATTGAATTTTATTAACTTAAAATATAATTATATTATTCTAAAATTTGATATCTTTTCTTCACCTAAATTATTTTCAATGATTAAGTTACTATTATTAAAAGTTTTAATAATTTGTTTTTCCAAATTATGGTAATGGACCATGTTGGTGTACTACTACCACATTTAAAATATGAAACTAAATTATAAAATAAATGATTATTTCCTAGTACAATAAGATATATTATATGTGTCAAAAGAAAAAGTTTTTGAAATAATTTGATCGGGCTTATCCTAAGTCTCAAGTGGTTCTCTCATTTTTTTTTAAACCGTTAAATATTTTTAAATATATATATATATATATAAATACATCAACTAACACTCTCACTAAGACTTTATTGTTCTCAGTTCTCACCAACGTAAAAGGGCATTTTTAACATTTCACATCGTTTTGGTCCTAATAATTGAAGGGGCGGTGCCTATGAATCTATGATGGTAGGTGAAGGTGTGAAGAAATATGAGAAGACATGGAACTTGTCTTTTGACGCGTGGCAAAATGGCACGTGTCAAAACAGCAGCATCTTTAAATTCTTCAAACCAGGCACATGGCACAAGACATGAACCCGGTCACAGACTGTAATAGCAGTGGCACTTTCGATATTTTGTGCAAAAACATGGTCAAAAAATAAGACTCCTTAACTAAACTTGACTTCCCTTACTTACCATGTACAAAATCACATCAATTATATTCAATTAATAAGTTAGTTTTATCACAAAAAACAGTTATTTATTTATTTTTAATTAATCAAAATCCTGTACACATAATTTTGTTTCAATTTTATCTTTAAAAATAATTTTTAAAATTTAAAAGTTTATTTTTCAGGGTTTATAACATTCTCCTCCTCGAGGGTTGAGGAAATTAGAAATATACCACACCCATACATTTCGGATAGTGACAAATACATCCAAAATATTGAATTTTTTTCCCATAAAAACTATATAATACCCTCTGTCTATTTATGTATTCTTTTCAATTTTTAACTGAAGTATTTTAATAAAAAATGAAGAAATAAAAAGTGAAAAGAATTTGAAACTTTGGTTTGAAAAGACTTTAGTATCCTTCACCTTATAATACTTTCAATTCCCTTTTTATTTTTTTCATCTTTTAGTATGTATTTTAATTAAATTTATTTATTTTACTTATAGTTTATCTTTTAAAATTACTATTTTATATAGTTAAAATAAAAATTGAAGAAATGAAAATTGAAAAGATAAATAATTAGCCGAGGGGTATAATGATAAAGTAATCAATGTCTTGGGGGCCTTTGTTACTTTCCGAAACCCTTGGGTGTATTCTTATTTAATTCGTTCAAACGCAGAGGAGAAAATTCTTTCTCTCTCTCTTTCTCTCACAACTCTCTCTCTCTCTCTCTCTCTCTCTCTCTCTCATCTCTGAACTCAAACTCTCAATAGAGTTAGATTAACTTTAGGAGTTCTTCTCAATCTTTGTCTCTCTCTTTTCACACACTGTTGAGGAAGAAGAAGAAGAAGAAGCAGAAAAAAACAGGAAGAGAAACATAACCCTTAATGGCAGATGCCACAAAGCACCTGTCCTCCATTAATGGAGGAGGAGTTAAAGGGATTACAGACCTCAAAAGCCTCTTCTCCCTCTTGAAAACCAGAAGAAGTCTCGCTTTTGCATATGGTTTCATGTTTGTTTTTGTTGGTTTCACTGTTTTCTTGGCCTTTAATCCCTCTTCGTCCTCCTCTTCCTCCCTCTCTTTCTCTAATATTTTCAGTGTCAGTTCCATCGCTTCTTCAAGTTCAAATTCTTCTTCTTCATTTTCTTCAAGCTCTTATAGATCTCAGTTCTCTTCTGTTTACTCTTACTTTTTCCCCAACATTTCTTCTTCTTCTTCTTCTCCAAAACAAGTTCATGTTCAACCCCAAAACTTGTTTAACTCTGCCAGATCTAATAACACAACCACTGTGAATCATCAATCTCCTAATATAAACCACACTCAAAGTTTAGATTTTTCATCTCCTCAAAATAAAGTCTTGCATGCAAATCAAACTTCAATTGCCAATAAACAACCCTCAACTGTAAAAAACACCACGCAGAGTTCTCAACTTTCTAATAAAGATCAAAATTTGAAGCCAAATCAGACCACTTTAGCAGTGCCCCCCGCACCAAAGGCTCCATTACCTTCTAATCAAACGACAACAAAAAGTTCAAGATCAAGTTCAAGTCCAAGTCCTACTCCATTGGTGAAGCCTAAGCCTCGAGTATCAAATTACACAGCATCTCCAAAACAACAAGGCAATGGGAGTAGTTCAGAGACGGTGGTGGTGAAACAAGGGATTGAGAGTCTGATGGAGAGTTTAATGAATTGTGATTTGTTTGATGGGGAGTGGGTTGAGGATCATTCTTATCCTCTTTATAAACCAGGCTCTTGTTCTTTCATTGATGAGCAATTTAATTGTGTTCTTAATGGTAGACCTGATAAACTCTTTCAGCAATTCAAATGGAAGCCTAAAGGCTGCACTTTGCCAAGGTATTGTCCATAATTTTAATCCTTTATGGTAATTTAAACTTTGTTGATTAGTTTATGGTTGTGTTGATTGGTTTGTTTAATGAGATCAGGGAGGTTGAATCTTTGATTTTAGTAGTAATTTTTCAATAGGGTTGTTGAGCTTTGACATTAATCTATGAATTGTTGTATATGGAAGGTTGAATGGGAGCCATATGTTGGAATTGTTAAGAGGGAAGAGGCTTGTTTTTGTCGGTGATTCATTGAATAGGAATATGTGGGAATCTCTTGTTTGCATACTAAGAAACGCGGCGAGAGATCCGAAGAAGGTTTTCGAAGCTCATGGAAGACACCATTTTCGCGGTGAAGCTTCGTATTCGTTCATTTTCAAAGTATGCTATTGATTGATCTATTGAACTTGTTTGTGTAGTTCATATGTGTTTTTGATGCCCATAATTTAGTTTAAGTTTCTTTTGTTGGACAGGATTATAACTTCTCTGTGGAGTTTTTTGTATCTCCTTTCCTAGTTCAAGAATGGGAAATGCCTGAAAAAAACGGATCAACGAAGGAGACACTTAGGCTCGACCTAGTCGGGAGGTCTTCTGATCAATATAAAACCGCGGATATCATCATCTTCAACACTGGACACTGGTGGACACATGAGAAAACCTCGAAAGGGTATGTTGTTGATTACTTCGATTCTTGTAGTGGTGACCTTTGTTCTCGTTAATTAACTAAAATGATGAGCGAAATTTGCAGGAAAGATTATTACCAAGAAGGTAGCCATGTGTATGGTGAACTTAATGTTCTTGAGGCATTCCGGAAAGCTTTAACAACATGGGCGAGATGGGTCGACGCCAATGTAAATACGGGGAAATCTATGGTTTTCTTCAGGGGTTATTCTGACTCCCATTTTAGGTAACTTCAACCATCCAAACTGTTTACGAATTCTTGTTTTTTGTATTGGAATCGTTTTTTCAACATTGCTTTGTCTCAATGCAGTGGTGGACAATGGAATTCAGGAGGAGCCTGTGACAGCGAGACTGAGCCGATCAAGAATGTGACATATCTAAAGCCATATCCCCCGAAGATGCTGGTGCTGGAGAAGGTACTTAGAGGGATGAAAAATCACGTCACCTACTTAAACATCACCCGATTGACTGATTACCGGAAAGATGGTCACCCATCAATCTATAGGAAACAAAACCTATCCAAAGAAGAAAGAAGATCGCCGTTGATGTTCCAGGACTGCAGCCATTGGTGTCTTCCAGGTGTGCCGGACGCCTGGAATGAGCTTTTCTATGCTGAACTCTTGATCAAAGAGAATAAGATGCAGCAACATCATCAGAATCAGAAGAAGAGATATAGGTAAAAATTAAATTTAAAAAAAAAAAAACCTCCACCTAAATTTGAGTTGCTTAAGTTATAATTTAATCTTCTATTAATTAGTAGAAATCATACATATTACGTATAGGTTTTTTTTTTCTTTTTTCGTGGAATTGTAGAAACAAAAACTTGCATGAAAAAGATCCATGAATTTTTGTTTCTTTTATAAATTATGAGAAATTCAAGAGCAAAAATGCAACAATGTAATAATTCTTTTTTGTTTATAAATATTCTTTTAGTATTCAAGGCATTCGAGGATTATAAATTTCCATTTATTTAGTTTTTTTGTTATTCATAATCGAAACTATATAGTGCGATCCATCTATGAGTAGCCCAGATATCTAATTAGCTTAGATGGTTAGGGCGAATTGAGAATATTATGGATAGGTGCATGTTTTTATGGTCGATTCTTTATTTGAGCATCCATGATTCAAGTGTGGGGGCCGTGGCAATAGGTTGTTACACTGGTTTCTCTCGAGGATTAGTCGTGAGCGTAAGCTTGTTCGGACATCTTAGTAACCATATATTGTGTTCTAATTCAGGTGTGAGACTTTGATCTTCACATTAAAAAACTTCATTGCTAAAGAAATTGTCAAATTTATGTATAGTGGAGTGGTTTAGCATTAGTTTAATGTAATTTTCTTTTTTAGTGGTCAAAATTAATTGAAGATGGACCGACCAATTGGGGCTTTTGATGAACATTATAATATTAAAAAAAAAAAAAAAAAGTGTTTAGGTTAGCCACTTTGTTCTTTTTCTCACTTGGTCACATGGGATGTTTGACAAATAATCAAGCATTTTTTTAATCAACTTTTTGTTTGATTATTGTGTGAGTAATCTTTATCTTAATCTGAAATCTTTTTGTTTCTTCTTGTTATTGTGTTGTTGATTGCTATGTCTTGGTCACGAGATTGAAAGCTATCTCGTTGGCTCATGAAAAATCTTTGAAAAATGGAGCCTAAAACCCTTAATTAACTCACCAAATTATTGAGCCTATGTACCTTATATTCCAATCTAATGAATAATATATATATATATATTATAATTTGAAGATAAATATATTTTAATTTTTATAATATTTTGAAAATAATAAATATTCCTATATGGATATTTAATACTAGGAGATGGGGGTTAATTTATTAAAAAAGTTTCCATTTTATTAAATTTACACGTCTAACTAGTTGTTAAAATCATTATTATATTTTTATTGGTATATTTTGGGATGAGTAATGTGATAAATATTATTTGAAGATACCGTAAGTGATAATATTTTTTTTAATATTAGATATTGTATCGCAGATGTTGGGATACAAAGTTGAGAGTATTATCTTTTGTTATACATATTATAAAAAATAATGTAAATATGTCTTTAAGTAGGGATGATATTAGTGTGACGGATCGACTCGAAGAACGAAACCCTAAGGCTTCGTTTGGTTCGCTTTTGAAAATATTATTATTAGTATTCTCAAAAAAATTAAACAGTAAAATGTCATTATTTTCAAAATATTATTTATTCTATATTTTTTAATTTCTTTTAAATCTCTTAAATTTGTTAATTTAACTAAACATCCTCAATTTTTTTTTTTAGAAATTATAAAAATACTCTAGCCACCCTCTGGTGGTGGTGGCCGGCTGTCCGTATTTAATGGGTGGATTGGGGGTGTTTTTGTTAATTTTTAATATTTTATTATAGGGGTATTTAGTAAATAAATAAACATAGGGGATATTTTTGTTAATTTTCAAATCTTATATCGTAATATCAGTCCAATTTATTTTTTTTCAAAAGATTATTCTAAAAACTATCAGAATAATGAACCAAACGGAGCCTAATAGATATGATTAGTTATTACTTATTTACAAATTACAGTTATTCGTTACGAACACAATTGTTTTGAAAAAAAAAAAAAAACATACATTTAACAAATATAAAGGTGATATGATATGCCTATCGTATTTAAAAGAGTTTTTTATTTTATTTTATTATTATTTTTTTTTTTTTCATCCGAAACATACCACTCAAGACAAGTGTGGTCCGTTTCGGTTTTTTGGTTGATCTAAACCGTGACATACAAGAAAATTTAAAGAAAAAATTGTATCCTACCATACCCTATTAGATTCAAGATCGAATCGAACGAAAAAATTGGTTCTATAAAGTTTAGTTATAACGGTTTTTGATATTTTGAAAGGAGTTGAATAATATTTTTTATAGTTTCATGGGTATTTAAAAAAAGACAAAAAAATAAACAGTTCGATTCGGATAAACCAAGAATAAAAAATCGATCATACCATACCGTATGGTTTTTAGAGAAAAACCGAATATATTTTGTGACTAGAAATCCACATCATATTGTATTATACCAAACCATTCGATTCCATGGCTTAGTACAATTTCACGGTTTTTTTGTCCTCTCATATTGTAGGCTTGTAGCAAATCTTTGAGAAACAAATGTTGGTTTTATGAGCAATACATGGGCTGGACTAAATGCAGCCCAATGTGACAGTTGTACAATCAGTAATACTCTTTATAGAAACTGTCCAAACTATTCAGTAGTCCACTAGGCCCTAAGAGAAAATTCAGTTTGGCCCATCACATTTGTGCCCAACCCACCTCATAGATTTTTGCTTCTTGCTTTGGGCCAAAATCTAGTATAAAACAATATTGGGGTATTTTGGTAATCTTCTTGTGTAACAGTAAAAAGCATGGTTGTTACTTGTTAGTATCCTACGATACACGATACGTATCCTATGATACGATTCGACATGGGTCGCCAACAATACGTATCAAATAGTGTATCATAAACCTTTCAATACGTTAATATGTATCTTATGATACGATACGTAACCGTTTGTATCCTTAAAAATATAGAAACAAATCGATACGACTTTATTGATTTGGGCCAAAGGTCTAAAAAAATTTCAGGTCGAATCTGGGTCACCCAACCCGGTTCACTAAAATCTACCCAAATTTACCCATTTTGCATGGAGAAAGTGAAAAGGAAGATGTGTTGCCTATTTTGCATAATAATAATAATAATAATAACACAAGTAGAGTTATAGATATTGACATTAATCTTGAAAATGATATGAATGGTTAAGAAGAAATGATATAAATTCTTAATTTTGATTATGTAATACCATAATTTAAAGTCAATAATACCACAAAATTTGTTAATTAATCATGGGAATGATATTAATTTTTAGAAAAATTTTGTTATTTTATTTATTATTTTATTAATTTTTTTTAAAAAAGGCATATCCTGCGATACGATACAATACGCGATACATTATTCAAAAAATTAGGTTGTTGATACACGATACAATACACGATTTGACAACCATGGTAAAAAAGATCTTGTTATATGTGATAATTAGAATTAAAAATATAGTCAAAATTTTTAAAATTAGAATCTATGTTCAAGAATTTTTTTATGTGGTTTTAGAAGTGTAATGATTTATTTAACTCACCTATGGGTAGCCTAACGACAAGGGTGAACCAAGGGGGTTGGAAATAGATATAACTCACAATCCTAGGTTTGATTCTCTGTTGAGCACAAATGTAGTATCTTTGCCCATGATTTACCTGAAGGGCTATGACGGTGGATTGCTGTGGGATAGTCTCCTATGGGAATTAGTCGAAGTGCACGTAAGTTGACCCGGATACCTCAGTTATTAAAAAAAAAAAGTGATGGTGGTGTTTTGTGGTGGTTGTGGGTGATGATTTTGACATGGTGGGGATGGTGGTAGAGGTGGCTTTGGTGCGGGGTTGTGATGCCGATGAGGTAGGTCTTGTTGCTTTGATTTGTTGGGTGCTCTATTGATTTTGTGTTGAGTTGTTGCCTCGGCTTTTGATTAAGGGTTGTACGGTAGTTTGCTTGTATTGGTGGGGAAGGTGGTTTAACATTTTTCTTCTCATTTTTATTTATTTATTTTGTTTTTAAATGGAAAATGAGTAAGAAGACAAATTTATCCTTTGTCAATCACGGAATTTGTAACGGCATTAGTTTTAGGGGTGGTATCTAACTAATAATCAAAACATTAAAGAGTGGTTCTTATTTAGTACACCCAAACTCAGTATCTAAGTTTCAATTTCTGAAACCTTAGGTGTGGTTATTGCAATCACGGAAGAAGCTCTTGACCGTATACCTTTTGAACATTATAGTTTCTTTTATATTAAATAGTAAATACTTTTTATTTTTAGTAACTTAAAATTAGGAAACTCTTTGACATCCTTCCGACTAAATAATTTACAAATTTTTCATTATAAAAACTCAATTTTCATGAGAATTACTTCGATAAACTTTTCTTTTAAAAACTCAACTTGAAGCATAACCAAACAACCCTAAAAATTAGTTTATTTTCCTTCAATGATTCGTAACTTTCTAATTTAGTTTAACGTTCAAAAATTAATTCTAACAAACAAATCTTCCATTTTTATAAAAATTAAAAATTAAAAATTAAAACATATATACAAACTCGGGTTTCAATTGCACAAACATCAGTATGAACTCAACATGTTTTATAGTAACAAAAAGAATAATTTTTATCATCATAAATTTATTTTTGAACTTTATGCAGAATTTTCTTTATCAGAAACGTGTATACTTATAGATTAGCTTAATCACTCATTTGCTAATAAAATTTGAAGGGACAATAGGTTTTTTTTTTTTAATCGTGTTTTTCTTATTATCAACATTATGATAAAGTTTTTTTGTTTAATTTAACTAATCAAATGTTCAAATATGTTAGTTGGGGACGAAAACTTAACAAAAGAGTAATAATAATAGATAAATTATTATTTTTTTGAATATCTTAGACTACAAATTATAATTAACTTGTTCAAATTTCAATGATTGTAAATAGATGAAATAATTTAATCCAACATTCTGATATTGTTTTATTTGATGTCGTTTTGGAAAGGATTTCATTTGGATACATACATAAAACGACAACACAAATGATGGGATGAGTTTAAAAATTGGTAGTTGAACAATCGTTTTAGCTATGAAGATATGAATAATAAATAACCCAATAATTATCATTCCTTTGTTGAATCAAACTAATCCTCTTGTCAATTTTCACCACTTAATTATCATTAATCAATTAATTATCACTTTAATTGATTTCTATAATGAGACAAATAAATTTTGGTCACGATTTGGAGATGGTGATTTAGCATTAAAGAAATTTCGACCATATCGAAAATTATTGACACTCGTCCTCTTTATATATTAATATTAGATGTTCCCGTATCTAACCATCCTTGTTAATTTTAATTTTAAAATTTTGGTCATTATTGGGAGATGGTGATTTAGCATTGAAGAAATTTTGACTATATCAAAAATTATTGACACTCGTCATCTTTATATATTAATATTAGATATTCCCATATATAATCATCCTTGTTAGTTTTAATTTTCAAAATGTCAAAGATTTTTATTTATTATTATTATTATTATTTTTATGATCGAAGGTATTTGAATTAGTTTGCGTGCATCTTAATTATTCTCCCGAAACCCTAGAAATACTAGTTGAGTATAAACTGTAGTGGCCATTTCTTTCAACAGTCGTGAGAACTCAAACTTAAAAAATCATATAAACTTAGATATCCATTTGCTCTAATGGTTGTTAAATGTAAAAGTTTTATTTAAGAACCTTAATGAAAAATAACAAGGACAAAAAAAATAGCTAGAATGCACTAGCACCATCTAGTATGTTTTAATTGGACTGTTAAACTGTATAGTTAAACACCAAACTACCGAGTTTTATATAGTATAATATAGTCTAGTGTTATTTATTAGTAATATATTAGTTTTTATTTTATAAAGGATGTAATTAGTAAATTATTGAATTTTACGGATAGATTTATCTTTTAAATAAAACTTTTACACTAGATTTCAGGATTTTTTTTTGTTTTTATATTCGCAACGAAAGATAATTTTAATATTGATTTTTATTGATAGAATTGACTACAATCATTTTAGATTTTTTTTCACTTTAACTATTTTTTTTTTTTTTTACTATTCTTTAAGAATTAATTGTGTATTTATAATTTTTTTACCCTAATTAAATTAATTTTCTTAAATCTATTAAAACTGCTAATTTTGCTCTAATTCTTTTTGGCTTATTAAGATTACAAATATTTTTCCAACAAAAAAAGTACTGAAATTTTTGCATTTGTATAGGTATATATATAAATCAAGATTCAAAGAACACAAAATTATTTTTCTTTTTTCCTTATTGAAATAATATATGGTCTAAATTCAACAGAATATTGATAAAGTGAAGTAGAAATTAATAGCTAGGTTTTTTTTTTTTTAAATATCAAGGGTGTCTGGGTCAACTTATGCACACCCCTATCAATTAATTTTCCGGAACTTTAGAACTACCAGCCGGGGTAAAAGCTCCAGTAGCCACCCCTATCAGTAACTGAGGAGAGACTCGAACTTAGAACCTTTTTAGTAATACAACCAAGAGTACCTATCGAACTACTCGGTCACCCAAGGGTTGATTTTGATAGCTAAGTATTAATTAGACACAAATTTCATTGTCAAACTAAAATAAAAAATAATAATAATAACTAAATAAAATTGTCTTCCACTTTCTAATTATGAGTCAACAAAATATTTATATAAATTAAATTCTTACAACCTCCCCTTTCCCCATCACCAAAAAAAAAAAAAAAAAAAAAAAAAAACAAAAGTAACAAAAAAATTAAAAAATATAGAAAATCTTCAAAGCCAAAAATTTACAAAATGGAAAAAGGGTACATATAAAATATATATTTGTTTAGCCTTAATTATATTAAAATTATTTCCTATTTTAAAACATTATTTAATGCAGCCTGATGATGTGCTTGAATTGAGCTTGAGCTTGAGCTGAGAAAATGGGGTTTTTTTCCAATACAGTGGGGGTTTTACCCAATTGTAAGGCCACATGTTGTCCTTGTATTGGCCCGCCGAACTGGCCGCAGTGGCAGTGGCAGTGGTGGTGGTGGTGGTGGCCGGCAGCGGTGGCTACCACGCTCACAAGAAGGCACCATTGTGAGGTAGTGGCCGGAAGTTGCATGTAAAAAGGTGCAGAGATTTTAAAGCCTCTTAATTCTTTGAAGCTCTTTTTGTAATCTCCTGTTCTCTTTGTCAGTGTTTCACAATCATCTTTAAATACTCACAATCTACCTCTGTCTGCTCAAGCTTGTCCTGCCAAAAATTTATTTAATTTAAATGATTTAATGCACCCATTTTTAAATAATTTAAAACATCATCACTCTTTTTTTTTTTTTTATGGACCGCGTGTCTGGTCCAGCTTACACGCACCTCAACTAATCTCCTGAAACTCTGGAATTATGGGTCGAGTAAGAGCTTCAGTAGCTACTCTTATTAACACCCAAGGAAAGACTCGAACTCAAAATCTCTTGAATAATACACTCAAGAGTCTCCGTCGAACCATTTAACCATTAAGAGGTAGTTAACATATTACTTATTCTTGTATTAAGATTTTGGCTGAAAATTTTCTTTCGCCGTAGAACTACTGTGGGATTTCTGATGGCAGGTTTATGCTAAAAAATATTGCTCGAAACTTTACTCAAGACATATTCATAAAATGTTAACAGCACGAGATTGAGTATTTTTCAATGGATTTTAAAAAACAAATTAAAACATATAAATTATAGAAAATAAGATTTATTATAGTGAAAGAAAATGTTATTTTGTATAGTAAATAAATACAAAAATAGAAATAAACATTAAAATTTAATTAATGAAAGTACCTTGCCCTTCTGTTCTGAAACCAAACTTCTACTTGGCGAGGACGAAGATTCAACTGTTTTGCTAAAGCAAGCTTTTGCTTCTGCAAATATTTTGACCAAAAAAATGTTTCAATAAATAAAATTAAAAAAACAAAAAACAAAAAACTGAAAGCAGAAAGCAGAAAGCAGAAAGCAGAAAACAGAAAACAGAAGAAGCTTTATTATTATTACAGGATTAAGAGTGTTGTGTTCTTTGAAGCTTTCTTCGAGAAAAGCTGATTGTTCTTTAGAGAGTCTGAGTTTCTTCCGAGTTAACCCGTTCTCTTCATCGTCACTCACTCTTGAACTCGCTCTCTCGCTGCTGTTGTGTTGATGGTGAGTTTCAATAATCTCCAAATCCCTCTTGTTGTTTCTGCTGTTTCCTATACAAAACTCCATCTGAAAAGACGACACCGTACTATTTGGAGATGACAGCGCCGTCGTTCCCTCCTCTGCTTCCCCCTCCGCCACCGGAAACCGGTTCACATCCAACCCTCTTCCCATCCCATCTGTCGAACCGGGTTCTGACACCATCAAAAATCAGATCTTTAATATTAAACCGTTTAATTTTCTATCATTTTCTTCCGTTTTCTCGGCAACCAAACAAAAGCATGCAAGTGAGTGTTATGGAAAATATTACTTACCGTTTTCAGTCTGCCATGGAAAGCGAAGCTGCGAAGGAGGCTGATTATGATGATGAGTACGAGGAACCGGAGAGAAAGGAAGAAGATCAAGCTGAAGAGGAAGATCATGATCATGATGATCTTCATCTTCATGATCTCCTTTGATCTTTAAGCCCATGCAAAACCCTAGATCTTTACTTGAAATTTTCGCTCCAGACTTGTCCAGAAACGATGAAAACTGCTTTGAAGCATCGCCTAAACTCAAAGCGAGCTCCATGTTTAAAGATAATAAAAAAATAAACCGATTCGACCTACTTCACACCTCTAATATTCAACAATTCTTTGAATACAGAAAAAAGCTCAGGAGGAAGAACCCTAACTGGGGGCTATAATTTATTTGCTTTGTGTGAGTAAAGATTGACCGACAAATCAAGGTTGACAAAGGAACGCACGTGAATGTATATAAATATAAACTGGTTCATACACGAGAGAGAGAGAGAGAGAAAGAGAGAGAGAGAGAGAGCGTGATAAAGATTTTCTAGGCAAACAGAAAATATTTTCTTCAATAATTTTCTTGGGGGTAATTCGGAAGTCAAAGATGTTCAAATTTAATTATTTGTTGTGGGAATAATAATGATAATAATAATAATTAAATTGGGATTTGATTGGTTGGACAAGAGAGCAAAATGAGTTATTTTTATTTTTATTAATTATGTAATTATTACTTTGGCTGTGTTGATAAATTATTATGCTTACCAAACAAGGGCCATATCATAATCATCATCATGATAAAATAATGATGATCATTTATTATACGGTCCAGGATCATTTCATAATTTCTATTTAGGGTTTATTACAAATTCCCCTGAAATATCAGTAAATAATAATTTCCTCCTTAAATATCATAAATTACAATTTATCCCCAACCATCAGTATGTCGTAAGGGTTTAAGTGTTTAATTTAATGGATTAAATATTAAATTTTTTAGTCGGATGTGAAAACACTAATGGAACAGTATAAAAATTTCCATAAGGGATAAGTTTTTCTTATTATTATTTTTTTTTTTTGTGATCAGGTGTTCGAGTCAGTTTACATGCACCTTGACTTATCCCTAAGGGCTCTGAAGTTAAAGATCGGTACACCCTCCAGGCCATCTCTATTAGTAACTGAGGTGACTCAAACTTAAAACCTTTTAAGTAATATACTCAATAGTCATTGTCCAACCACTTGGCCGTCTAGAGGTGGTTAAGAGATAAATTATCATTTCATATACCTGAGAAGCGTATTGTTAGTTCATAATACGTTAGGTGAAAACTTGTTATAAACTTAAAACTTTGGGTTATGATCTCAAGGGGTTGGCTTAGCGGCTAAGGAGATTTGCTCATTTCCTTGAATTCTTAGATTCAAATCTTGGGGTTACTTATCATAATAACATTATGGCTTACCTGATTTTTTGAGGTTTGTAGGGTGTTCAATAGACTTTGAGAATTAGTTGATGTGCATGCAAGTTAGTCCGAACACCCTAATTACAGAAAAAAAAACATTGGAGTATAGCTCAAGTTGGGATTATTCAGAAATAGTGAAATTAAATTAAATTAAATTTATAAACTAAGCGTGATGTGTGAACAGAGAAATAGTAAGATTAAGAATTGAGATTTGACTACAAACTATTCAACTTAGGCAGACAGAGATAGAGACCATCGTTTACTATTCCAAGAAAAGGTCTTTGTATTAATTAATTTAAAGTACAATGTTCTTTTGTGTCTTTTAACCACTTAGCCTAAAGAAATTAGATTAATTAATTTATATATAAAACTATATGATAAAATAATAAAATTAAATTAAAACCCAAAGTATCCGATGAGTCCATTCATTAATGGTTTACTGACGATTCACTAACGATATTTTTGCTATTTTTGAAATCTGAGAGTTTTTTGTTTTTTTTACGTCAAACTTGGGGAAGGGTAATTTTTTTTTAACTATAATATATGTCATGAACCTGTCTTATCGTACGAATGATAATGGATACTTGTATTTAAATTTTGGGAAGGGTAAAATTCAACGTGGTGGAAGCTACGGTGGTGGAGGCGGTGGTGATGGTGGTGGTAGCGGTCCCACTGGGGGCATGGAGGGTGGGTTTAGAAGAAGGTAATAAAAATAGACATCAAGAGGATGTGAAGAGGTCAGAAATGTCATGCTTTTGGGATCATTGCAATTATTGAAGTCATGCAGGCTTTAATGATAGGCTTGAGAGAGAGAGAAAGAAAAGAAATTAATTATATAATTTTATCTGACTCAATTATTATTTGGTGGGACCATTTTACCCTTCACTCATATAATTGCCACACCAACTAGTACTCCTTTCTCAACATTCCCTTCTTTTAATTATTATTATTGTTAAAAAAAATTATATATTTTTTAAGTTACATATATAAACATAATTATTTTTAAAATTATATTTTATAAAAATATTCATACTTGTAAATTAAACTAAATTATAATATCCTGACATAAAAAAATCGAATTAATGGTTATTTTTATGTTGGTAAAAATTAAATTACAGTATCCTCACTCTTTTATAATTTGAAAACATACTCTTATATTATTATCTTATTCAACTTTATTTATTATACATTTACTAATTTATTTTTTAGTCAAATAATATCTTATGCAAAACTATAAATATGCATATATAGTAAGGTCTCCCTAGAGTGATACTCTGTATTTAAATAGTTTTTAAGTAATCATAGAAAAATTATGGTTTCAACTTGGTCCGATTATAATTTATAAATAAGAATAAATTCTATATTGTAATAAGTTATAATTTTTCAAAAATTATTTGGGACAATGATTTATATTTTAGAATTGTTACCACATCTTAAAACTTGTGGGTACGTAATAATTAATCAGCATCATCACCTTCTTATTGAAACTACCATATTTTTAAATTCTTAAGAATGTTTAGAGTTTTTTGGTCCGAAACTTTTTGTATTTTCGTGTCTATTTTACTTTTATACTACTTTCATTGAGGATAACTAAGTCAAAACAATAATTTTTGTAACTATATATTAATTAAGTTATAACTTCCTCGTACTATACAATTTTAGAGAAGTTTTACTTTATGAAACCAAGTAAATGTCATATTTGAATTTCAAATTTATGCCAATATCATAAATATGAGAAGTTAATGTCGCAACCTAATTTGTAGCTTTATCATATGCAATTATTATAGTTGTTGAGCACCTCTTTAATTTCTACAATTCCTTACAATTTTATTTACTGAGGTAGAACAAAATTACCAATCATCCTAATTAACCATTTAACCAAGTATTTATAATTATTTACTGAGTTACCTTAATGTGTACCCTAGTAATAAATGTTAATATTACTGAAAACAAAAATTTGATCACAGCTATACGAATCAGTGGGGGCTCTTGACCCCCCTCCCTTTTTTTTTATCTAATGGTTGAACAGTATTAGCATTTATGTTTATAATTTTGAGCCCGTTTATTTATTTTATTTTGAACTTGTCCCTTTTAAATTTAATTTCTGAATCCGTCCCTCTTTTTGTAAATATAATGTATTTAAATAATCAAAATTTTTAGTTTTTTAATAATCTTAATAGGTATATTTAAGGGACCGTTTGGATCAGGTTTATATTAGATAACTAGGATAATATTTTTTAAATTGAGCAGATAATGATGTTTGGTTGGTTTGTAAAAAATTATTCCCAAAATATTTTATGACAAACAGTGACATTTGGAGGGTAAATTGTCGGGAATCTTAATACCTTAGGAAGAGAGGGGGGGGGGGGGGGGGGGGGGGGTGGCTGCTTTTATTAAAATATACCCAAGATAATATATTTTGTTTCCCATATTGCCACTAAACAGTTGAGCATTTAGTCCAAATTAGCTTTATATTTGTTAAGATTTACAAAACATCCAATTTACTCAATAGATCATTTTGTCTCATTTTTTTAAATTTTTTGGATGACTTGCCCTTGTTATTACATTATTTACAAAAATGTCATTGTACCCAAAACTAGCCACATCGCCAGCCATGTGGACCATCGTCGGAGGCTACCAAAAGTTGCATAATGGCATAGAATGGCCGGTGTCGGTGAGGCCTTTTTCGACCATGGATCATGGAAACGGCCAGATTAGGTGTTTCACGACCAAATATGTGGCAGTGAAATGACCACAGATATGGGTGAAATGGCCAACATTTCACAACCAATTCTGTGGCCGTGAAAAAGCTGGCGTTTTCCAGCCAAAGACCTGGCCACGACCACATTTGGCTGTGTAATAGCCATGGCCAGATCTATGGCACTGCCAGCATCACAGCCAGATCTGTGGCACTATTAGCGGCCGCCGACGGTGGTAGCTAATTGTTGCAATGGCTTGGGGTGGGTAGGAGTGTTTTTGTTCAGTTTGAAACGTTTTAGTTGTTAGAGTGTTTTTTCTAAATCTAAAAAGTAGGGGGTTAAAAAAAATTATTCAAAAAATAATAATAAAAAATGTATTCTATTAATATTTAAAAAGGGAGTAATTTAGAATCTATAAACATACTCACTTATTTATCCTTTGAACCAAACACATTATCACCAATTTATCGAACAGCCAAACACATTTTTTAAACATTCCCATAATCTTCAAAGTGATTTTTATACTGTTAATATAAATTACCTATAATAAAATATATATGATCCAAATAACCTCTAAAAAATACAACAATTTTAGCAATTTACATTATCCTCCCTGGTTCTCTAAACTGTTATAGGATTCCCTGAAAATGAAATCAAAGATTGTAATATCCAAATGAAATTGACAGAAAATGATTGATGATCCAAATTGAAATATACTGAAAGGGTCAATTATTTCAACTAAATAATTATTGGTATGCAATATGCCTTCTCTTTCCTAATATCTACTGTATATATAATCTAGGGTTTTATTTTTTTAATAACTGGGATGTTCGGGTTAGCTTACTTATACTTCAACTGATTATCAGGTCTATTGAATATCCTATAAGTCTAATTGGGTAGACAAGTAAAAAATGTGGTTGGTGACTAGGTGGCCATTTTGCGGGACTCGAACACAAGTCATCTGGATAATCTATTCAGATGACTGAAGTCTTGCTATCAGGTCACAAGTCTAGCGATTTATAATTTAGGGTTTTAAGGGTGCCCACTTACGAATTAAAAAATTCAAATTATTATGAAAAGTAAAAAAAAAATTAACAATCAACAAAAAGCTTAATTACACCAGAAAGAAAATT